TTAAAATTTCCTGTGAACAATTTGTTCTAAAGCATCAAACCTGACACCTGTTACCAGCCCTACAGGTGCACTAGTGTTCTGCAGCATTGCTCAATGTCTGTTGCAAAGGTGATCCATGTGATTGCCAATTAGAAGGTGACATGCAGCCTCCTCTCAGCTCCTGCTCAGGGGTTTGTGAGGAAATCCTGGCAGGCTGCTTTAAAGAGTTTGACTGGAAGAGAATTTGGTCAGTTGGCTATGCTGTAGTAAAAGTATAATTGCTATTGATTTGCTCTGATAAACAGCCTTTGATCCCAGCAAATTAACTTTCCAGTGGAAAATTGCTCTAAGAGTGGAAACTTCAGGTTAAGCACCCAGTTTTAGGATAGCAAGCTATGAATGCAGTCCAAGAAGAGAGCTGCACTGGGACAAGGAAGCAGTGGAAAGCAATGCAGTGAGACAAGTGTTACTTTAATATTTTTAAGAGAGTAGCAAAGGAGAGATTACTGGATTTTACATTCCTATAGAAGGAACAAGTTCCAAATAAATGTGGAGAGATCCAGTTGCAAAAGTTGTTCCTTTTCATAGTAGTCCTTAAAACTGCTACAAAAAATACTGTTCTAAAATGAGTTAGCAATCCATGTCAGCAGTTGTCACCCTGTGTTTGTGGCATCATTAATGCCTGAGCTACAGGGCTGAACAGTAGGTTTTGCACAACTTGATTTCGTGTGTATTTGTTGTGTGACCCTGGGGAGGGAAGACAAAGATTAACAAACAGTGGATATTCCTTCCAGTTCTTTTCTGTCCAGCATGGGCATCCCAGAAGCAGGTCTGAGTGGATTATAATGAATTATGTTTTATTAGATTTTTCACAAAATCATGGTTCCTGCAGCTTAAACAAAGACCTTCAATTGGTCTCTGCATGTATAAGTAAGGCCAGTAAGCAGCTCCTGTTTGTTGAATGGAAAATATAATGGCCACACTCTCAAAATCAACGAACAAAATTCCTCTGAGAAACAAAGTTGGATTGCAGAACCAAGTTAGACTATGAGACCAACATTTCCCACAGTGAAATTACAGGTAAAACAGCTGATTTACCCTGATCAGTGGTGCTCTGCAGTATCATGGTCTATAAGAAAAAAAGCAGTCTGACAAGTTAGAAGAAAAAAGTGGTTTTGAGAGGCAAGTTTTCAGAGAAATAGCAGGAGATGGCAGAGTAGTATGAGCAGCACAACTACAAAAGGACAATCTGCACTAGGTAAATAAAATGTTGCTTGGGTATTTATCATCACCTCTTACTTGAATTATTCTAGAAAGGATCAAATGTACAAATCAAGCAAACAGGCAGTTGTCTTAAGATGCCTAAACATTTGAGCTCTGTTCACTGAATGATACACAAGTCCCATTCTGCTTAAGACAGCAAAAGTATTAGAGCTGGCGAGGGACTAGATTTACCCACTGCTGGATTTATCTCCTGAAAGAATTTTCAGTATTGCTTCCTGGCCTCAGAAATTTTAATTCAATCAGCTATACCTAGAGAGCAAACATTTTAAAAAGTCATCTCTTGGTAAGTAGAATCAACACGTAACATTGATAATCTGTTGTTCAGGTAATGTGGATAAGTTGGTTTTTTCGTTTTAGGTGGAAATGTTCTCCTCTATCTCATGCAGTGTAAATCAATTTGGTTTTGTATGTCATTGCAAATATGCATTTCTGTTTAGAAAAACATGAATACAGAATTCCTTTAGTTGGTTTGTCTCTATGTTTTTGGCCATAAATGTAACAACAGACCAATGAAAACAGTTTTAGGTCACATTGATTTGCACTTGGGATGCTATTTTCTCTGATTGTGATTGTGCACCTCCTGGTGAAAATCATGCTTTACACAGCACAAAATGGAGAAGTAAAGCACCACTTGTTTTCATGAATAATCAATTTGCCATTTTGATATCTAAGGCCTATTTGAACCCCAAATTTTAAAGGATTTCCCTTGACCACAATGTACATGCTTTTCCATGCAGCCTCAAATTTAAGAGTTTGACTGAAAATTAGAAGCCAAAATATTAAAATATGACTAACTTACCATGCCCCTGAATATGCAAAATGCCGTTGCTAGAATGAGGTATGCAACTAACATTAAATCTACTGGTCGCCTTAAGAGTCCTTTCTTCTGGACTTCCTGAACCACCTGCAACACAGAACATGTTTAGTAGGTACATCCCAGTTCCACATGATGTGTATATAACTCCAGATCAGTCACTGCAAGGAGGGTGAAGTGGTGAAACATCATGAAACAACATATCTATCCACTGATTGCAGAGACAGAAAGATTTCCACATCTAAAAAGGTGACTTCAGTCCTTATAGGATGTAGTGAGGAAAGTTAATCTGAATAAACTCTAGAAATGGATGGATCCAGCTAAAGCCACTTCAATACAGATTAGTGTCATTTCAAAGCAACCTAAATCCAATGAACACTCCTCTAACTCTGCAATCACCTAAGGTTTTAAAGCTGCATAACTAACCAGTTCAAAATGGTGTTTTGTGTTGATTGGAATGAATTCATTTTCCTGAATGTCCCTATGTATAAAAGCCTAGGAAAAGTAGGTTTGTTACAAACATTTGGAGTTGAATCTAGTATGCTTTGTAAGAGGACTGGGTCCATCCCATTACTGACAGTGAATGCTGGTTTTCAGCAGCTTGTGACACTATGGAAATTAATGGACTATCACTGGCATAAAATAAAAGCTTTTCTGTGGCTGGTAGAGTCTTCTGCTGAGTTCAGTGAGCAAATATTATATCTTAATACATAATGCAGAAATAGAGAATGAGATATGTGTGTGTGTGTATTGAGTATGTGGAAAATCCTCCTTTCATTCTTTTATCACTGTATGCTATGGATTTCTCTGATAGGCACTCAAGCACTTCTCAATGTCTGGCTCTGATCTGTGCCTCTTTTCCTCAGAACAGGAATCCCCCACTGCTCCACAGGGGTAGATGTGAGGGGTTCACACTAGACTGTAGCAAAGGCCATATCGATATTTAACTGGGAAGGTGACTTGGAGGAACCAAAGTCATCTCTTTGCCTACACAGTAAAACCTGCAAAACTCATGGAAGTAAGTCAAGGTACATTTTCTGCACTGTGCAGTCACAGACAAAATTATAACCACATCAGAGTATCTTTTTGTAGTTTGGAGGGAAAACTTCCCCATGTATATGTGTTACTCATTTCCTCTTCCTTTTTATTAGCCATGTGTTGGCATGCAGACAGCAAAAAAAAAACCTGATTTCCTTCCTGTTATACACTTGTGGCATTGTCTCCAAAGCGCAAAACAATAATTAGGATGTAGAGGCACAGTTAAAAGCACTCAGGATCAAGATACAGTAAAGTTATTGAAACAGGAGACCAATCTTGCAAGCACAATTCCTGAGTAAAAATACAAGATCTGAATGGTAGATTAACAAAAGTAAGGCTCTTTAAACACAGTGGCCATTGCTCTCATAAATTTTTTTCTGGTTTTCTTAAGGATCTTTTCCAGAAAAAAAGGTGACACCTTTGTTTGCTTTTCAGACACAAATAACAGGTTTGTTTTGCAGTATGGTGTCACTTCACAGTATTCACAGTACTAGTGTAGGAGTGTTTTTATATTACCTGCAAAGAATGCCTATGCTTTAATATTTACTCCTATCAAAGTCAAAGGTCTCCTGTGGCTGCTGAATGACAAATAATTTTCAGATGTGGACTACCTAGGATAATGGAAACTGATATTTTCTTTCCTCTTTTGACTATGTATGAAGCTTATATACATACATACATATATATGTATTACTCCTTTCGAAAGAAATATTAAATGGATAGCATTTGGCTAATATAATGGACAGTATTGACTGTGATCACAAAGGTACACTACAACTTTGTACTTGGAGAGTTTGGAGTTGAAGCCAATCCAAGTGGAAATAACCCTTGGTGCATTATGAGTTTGTGAAATTGCAGGGACCCAGGAAACTCACACCTTTTTTTCTTTGCATACATGCAAACAAAATGAAAATGTAAAGCTTAAAGAAAAAAACAAAAGCGGAAGCAAGAATTTGAAAGACTGAGTGCACTTAGCTGACAAACTTTAGCTACAGACTGTTTTCCTTGCCTTTCCTTGCCAGAGCTGAGCTGCCCTGGGTTTCCCATTCACTGTGAGCAGCACTGAACTCTGCACACATCTTGCCAACCCCACTGTCTTTTGTGTAACAAGGAAGTGGGCAAGAATACCTTGCAATTTCTCTCGCTTCCAGGAAAAAGCTGTTTTCCATAGCTGAGAGGCCTCTTGCATTATCAGTTTAAAGGAATTGGAATAATCTTGTGTGCTGTGCCCGTGAGGTACTACAGGTTCTAGGTGCTGAGGGTTCTAGGTAATGCAGGTCCCTTCAGAATTCTTATGCAAATCTGAATCTGTGTATTAATTCTGTTCAGGAATTTTAAATTGCATTAAACTTTTCTGAGCTGATACACTGGTAGATAAATCTGATGAGCTTTGTAAATGCTGCAGCACAGCTTGGTTTGATTCCAAACAGGGACATAACTCCATTCTGCTCCCTTGCACCCACTTTTATTAGATAACACCCAAAACTTGATTACCTCTTCTTTGTCCCCACCATGATTATTTTTTTTAACTAACTGGTTTGTAATAATATTATAGCCATGTGTGCCTTGGCCAACAGAATATAACTTGCTTCTATTCTTTTATGTAAGTATTTTTCTGCATACTAACACTACCATGTTTAAAAGCATTGTTACATTTTCTTCTTTTAATACCAACTCTGAATAATGACAACTAAAAAAAGTTCAATTTTACAGCCAATTGCAAATGATCTACTGAAAGAGAATTAAATATGTTCAGGACTTGCAGTGATTATCTAACGGATTAGTAACATTAAACACAATTATTTCCTGGAAACAATACTTCATTTAGGTCTGAGAGAGTTGTATGAAAAATTCATGAGTAGTCATGTTAAGATTCAAAGGCATGCTCAGAACTGTGTGCAGTACTCTACGTGGGGCCTCACAAAAGCAGTGTAGAAGGGGAGAAACACCTCCTTCTACCTGCTGGCCACACTCCTTTAGATGCAGCCCAGGACTTATGTACATCTTAATTTATTAAAATTTATGTAGATCTCACCTGTAAAATCTAATATCACAGAAAGCACATACCACTAATTATTAGATTACATGAAATCTGTAAGTCATCTGCAGAAGAATACTAGTATTTTGTGGTGTTTTATGAAGCTGGTATAGGTCAGTATTTTCATCAGCTAAGAAACTGAAAGTGTCAGAAACTGGATAGCTGGGGGTAGTAACACAGACCACAGAATGGATTCTATAAGTATGAGATTCTATTGCTTTTCCTTTATTCCACCATAATGAAATAGTTCTGCACTATAGATATTTTCAGTGTCTACACAGCCCAACAGCAATTGTCATAAGAGTGAACAGTCACAGTACACTCCATGCTCACCAAGGGACCTATAAAACCCTCCAGGCCCAGCAGCATGCTTCAGCTTTGCTACCAGTAGCCAAGACTGAAACACAATATTACCTTGTCCGGAGTGTCGTGAGCCACCGAAGGTTGGTTATAGATTCGGAACCCAGCCCATATGGGGAGGCAGATATAGGGTATGCTTAGGAAAAAAGCAGGACAGACTTTTGTTCCGTATTTGCCTGTTAAAAAATGATTGATGAGAATTTGTAAGCTGTGCTTCAGAAGAATTAAAAGTATCCTGTGTAGTATCAAACCCGAAGCGGCTGTGGTAATGTCAGCATAAAACATTTGAGATCACTGTTAAAGCAAATCTTCCAACAAATCTTGTTGGAAATCACATGCCCAATGGTAGTAGAGTCTATTCAATGACAGGAAGTCATTTTGGAAATTAGGGATTCTTTAAGGGGACAGGTAAACACCTCTGTCACTCTGCACTAGGTAATCCTATAGGATGGGACAGATTTGAAGTCTCTTTATGGAACCTGCTTCAAATTTTACTTTTCAAAATGGGAAAAAAGGAGTATAACCATTTTTTAAGATCTGATACTACATTTGTTTTCCAAAGTCCTGATTTCCTGTACTGAGGCCTGTACTGAGGCCTGTACTGAGGACAAAACATTCAAAGAGTTCTCCTCAGCCCAGGGAAATCAAGAAAATCTGTGTCTTTTACACTGGCTACTCTCTGCATCAGAAAGGAGTGCAGCAGGCATGCTCTCGAGAGCAAGTTTCTTGGCCTTCCCTGAAGGAAAGAGGAAGAGATACTGTCACACTAAATCTGCTGTTTGCTCTGTGGTATCTGCAAAGGAGGGAGCTGGGCTGGCCTCAGGCTGCACCACGAATATTCATCTTCTGTCATAAAAAGCAGGGCCAGAGTGAGCTGCTGACTGCAGGATTTGGACACATGAACATTTTTCCCAGTTGAACATTTGTCATCTTTGCATCAGTTTAAGCTTAGCTAAAAAGGAAATCTTTTATTGAAGAGGGTTGTACCCTTAAAGGATCACCTGCCAGTAATAATGATGTAAATATTTTTATTACAATCCTTGCCCCTAGCAGCACAGCTATGCACTGAGTTATGTTAGAAATCTAGGAACATTAAATCTAGTTTGAAAACAGAATAACTTCTGGATTTCACTTTTAAAGGTGATTTGGATGCCTCTTGTAAGCTGCTTGAAAGTCAGACTTTTAAGTAAATTGGGAATTTTGTGCAACATAAGTTTTATATTTTTTTGATACTGAGAGACAGTTACTGTCTCATCACTTAAACCTAGGATAGATGAAAGCCTTATGGATATAGCAAAATAAAATACTTTCTTTTTTTTCCCCCTTGAGACCAATGTAAATTGAAAGCTTTCTTTTTCCCCTGGCTCCCCATCTTCCCTTCCTCATATTTAACTTTTGAAATATCTTGCATCTCTTCACTGGTATTCCTAAAATTCCTCTTTCATATTATTACAGAAATGAACCAACACTGCAGTGAAATATAGATAGCCTAATGCTGAATTTAGAAAATGCTTCATAGGAAAAAGTTAGTCATCTAAATTACTTCCTTACCCACAATATTTCCAGGCATAAAGACAATGATGCTCATGATAATGGAACCCAGCCAGTAGAGACCAATGGTTCTATAGCTTTCTCTGTTCAAAAAAGGAAACAGCACAGAATTATTGAACCATTTCCCCTAGCCCAAATATCACACTCATTGCTATGGTTGTTTTATAGTAAGTAAAGGTTTCAAAATCTGTACCACAAGTCAGCAGTGGATTCTTGCTCCTGAGAGGGGGATATGGAGAACTCCTACATTCATGTGTGCGAAGGTTGTCATGTGAACAGCACAGGATTTGGGCATCCTGTTATTTGCTGTTACGTTTCACTCATCTGAAGGCTGAGACTTCATGACTTTGCACATCACAGGATGTACAAGACTACATAAGAATTAATAATTGATTTCATACCATTAATGCTTCTGTTTCCAGCAGGTATATTAGCCTCTGGAATGTCAGTACTTATTCTCTCAAATCCTTTATTCAACAGCAAGAAACATCCAATCTCTAGAAATAACCATTTTCTCTTAAACTTCATGACAGTCTCTAACAGGGATGAGAGATCATTATTGTGCTAAACAATACGTTATTCCTCTCATAAATTTGAAACAGTTTGAAAAACAAATTGGTTTTTTCACACATGCTTTTAGCGTGCATCATCTTTAAGCTTTTAGCTAACAGAAAGCATGCTGATGTGCTACACTTTGCTGCAGAGTGAAGACAAACTACATCTCCATGCATTTGTTGGGCTGGGTCAGCTGAGAGAAAAGGTAACTTGGCGAGGGTACAACTCCTGAAATCAATGAAATTTTAATAGCTTTGGCTGTTATTGCTTTGGCCTAGGACATGAAACTGCCCTGAAAGAAAAATCTACACCCTGCATAGGAAAGAAAGTGCTTTGCAGGTTGCATGAGAATGGGAGCAAAGTAAACAGTACACAAATCAAACTGACTTACTCCCATGCAATAGCTGCCACCATCAACAGGTACATCAGATAGTGAACGGAGCCGTCCCAGTAGCAGATCACGTGGCCATAGGCAGTGTTCAGATATGGTTCACCCTAGGGAACATTTATTTTTCAAAAGATACAGCGATTAGAGGAAGACTGACAACTAAGAAAGAACAAGTTCAGAAAAGTAACTGGTGTTCCTTCCATCCAGTGGTACAGTTTTTGACTGACAATGCACATTGCCAAGCACAGACCTGATTTAGGTAGGATCAGGTATAATTACATGAGTTCTTGAGTTACAATAGGGTGCAAGATGGAAGGAAAAGCTATGTGTGACTGTCAGTATTAACTCTAGCAGAGCACATTATGGAAATGACTTTTACATAGTTTAGTGATAAAAGCTGCAAAATAAAGATACATTTAGCATGGAACAAATACAGATATATTTAGCAACCTAGAGCTCTACGACAGTATTGAATATATTGATGACAATGTATAACCTTGTAAGGTCCAACTCATTTCACACTTAAGTTCATGGAATCTTTTCAATGACTTCAGTGACTTTCATATCAAGCTCTTACTGAGCTATTTTTGGTGGATGTTGATATTGAGCAGCCAACAGATTCTGCTGACGAGATATCTGGCATCATCATTTTTAAACTCTACTTTAATTCCTTTTAGTAAAGTGATTAGGCAAAAATAAAGGAGCAATTTTCTTCTTGGTAACACATTTAGGTGCTGCAGTTACTCCTCCACACCCAAGTGCTGTCTGTGGCTTTCTGCAAACATGTGCAGTCCATCCAAGTCAAGGAGTTAATACAGAACAGTGTTACTTAAACTAAGTGAAATAACATTGGAGCCTGAAAGGTACATTATTTTTCTGAAATGAGTCGGTGATTTCAAGTCAGTGAAGATTTTGTACACAACAATAATGAACCAGGTCAACAATCAGATTTGAGAAGACCTTTTTGAATGTATAAGTGGTTATTTTTCTGTGACAAGTACTACAAGAAGTTATTTATAGTGATGATTTTATTTACATTTGTAAGGCAAACAATTATTTACCTCTCTCAAGTAATGAGTCATGAATCCATCTATAATTCCATCCTGTTCCAGTCCAATTATTAGATTCACTACACTGGTAAAGGCAAATACAGCATAAACTGTAATAAGATGAAGGGAAAAAATGATTAATAAAGATTTGGAATCAGACAGTTGCTGCACAGTCCAGTAAATTCAGTCAGTCATAGATCTATCGAAGTAGATGCATCTACTTTGAGGTCACAGATATTTGACACACAGTATTATTTGCCCACATAGCTCAGTATTTTTTATTTAGTGGTTAGCTTAGTGGGAAGCTTTTCTGAGAAACGTGAGATTCTGTAGAGCTGCGGGCACAGCCTCCATAGAAAGTCAGTGTCTGCAGAAAGGACTGGGTAGCCTTTCAAAAATCTTGGTCACATGAAGTATACAGCCTTGACTGTAGCCATCTCTTGGAAAGAAGAAAGGACAACAAAAAGAAGGCAGAGAGGGAAATGAGACTTGTCATTTTCGCAGGTGAGCAAGGCAAAGTGCATGAGCCCTGGCAGTCTACGGCAGACCTAGCTGGCAAGTGAGCTAGTCACTCCTTTGAGACAGAAAATTCAGTTTCATCATTTTCCCAGGACATACCATAAAACAGCGGGTCTTTGGGCGGTTTTCTTTTGACAAGAATGCGAGCCAACAGGGCAATAAAAACCAGAACCAGCAATCCAACTGCAACGATTACCCAGGAACTGTAACAGTATTTAAAAAAAAACAAACAAACAATTTAAAAGAAAGGCAGAGAGAATTTTGCTTCTTCAGCTCTTCTTACCAGCTATCCTCAAATGTGCATACCCTCAAAGTAACTTTTAATATTTTAAAAGGCAGTTTTGAGAGTCCATAGCATAGTGTACCATACTAGTCATTTTAAAGTTTTGCAGAATTGATGTGCTTCTCTTTTCACATGTCATCAGCTAAAAAAGGAAAATACAAAAATAGCTAGATAAACAACATATCCAGGATTCTAGATTTGCCTGACTAAAATCAGTTTTCATACTGGTATCTGCAAAAATAAACAAAAATTATGGAAAAATTAAAGACCAATGAGGCAAACATCAAAACCACAGAGTTTCAAGGCCCAAAAGGATCATCGAGGACATTTTGTCTGACCTCAGCAATAAATTATCTACTCAGGAAATTACATATTCACAAATAAAACTTATCAGTGCCATGGAATAGGAGTAGCAGTGTGCAGCATCTATGGTGGATCTAGGTTTGAGGTGTCCCCAACCCTACAAGGCAGGACCAGTTGAGAGACTTCAGTAATCAATGCAGGTGAGCCCAGTGGAAAAGATCTTTTCCCTGGACACAGAGCTATATTAGTGCATGTAGAGTGGTTGTGGGGGAAAGCACAACAAATCTTTGGCATAAAGCAAGTTTGTCTCCTTCCCCAAGAAAACACAAGTTGGGAAAATCAGATCAAAAGTGTTTTATAGCTCTAAGTATGTAAATTATATCTAGTCCTTTGTAAGACAAGACTCATCTCCATAGTCTTCGCTTTTGTGCTTGTGTACAGGAAAAAATAGAGAGAAAAGTTAGGTAAAGTCCAGAAGCATAAGCTAAAACTGGTACATGTTTTTATATATAGTACTAGTCTGTGTCAAGAAAGCAAATTGTGTACAAACAAATGGAATTATGACAATTTCAGCCTTAGTGAAACTTGACTTAAAATTCTTGCAAAAAATTTCAAGTATTTCAGAATATACACACATACTTTCTGACTCAGGATGAGCAGTACTAGCTTGTTGATTTATTTTATGGTTTGAATTTTGTGCTGGTCTGTTTTCCCAGTGATGAATTTCTTCATACCATTACAGCTGTTAATATTGCAGTGACTTTTCACTGCAGTCTATCAATTTGAAATAAATATTGGCAATGAATCAAGTAAGTCAGCATGTGTTATTCGACATTTCTCTAGCATTGAGAAACAAAAAATTTAGTTAGCGGCCAGAAGGAGGATAATGAGGAAGGAACAGATGTAGCAAAGCCTTAAAAACATGAAGCAAATATTTGTGCGGCAAAGTTGCAAAACACCCCGGGCTGTGCGATCGCAAAATACCACACAGACTTGAAAGTGAAGTGGGTTTTGCCATGAGGAAAGATCTTGTTCTTCTAGCCCTGCGGTTTATCCTGGGATTCCGGGGGTTTGGGCAGTGAGAGCATTCGGTCCCTCGGCTGAACTGAAGTTCAACTCGCAGCCTGCGAGCTCAGGGGCTCTCCGGGAGCGGCGAGTTCGTCCACTCGTTTGTAAAGAGAGTTGGATTTTGTTGGTGAGCCGGGGGAG